GATTGTAACCTGGTTATTTGATGTGGTGCTATCACCTCTGCCTGCAGCCTGTCCTGCTTCGTTCGTCAATGTGTCGTGGAAGGGTCTTTTGTCCTTCAGCACACTATTCCCTACTTCTCTGTCCAGTATTTAATACGTTGTACCCAGTTTGTTTTCAGTTTTTATATTTTCTTTGTGCTTTGGAGTTTCTTTAGTAATTGGATTGGTTTTACGGGTTAGGGTTGCTAGCCCGATCCCCAGCCTTCCCTCTTTATCCGGGCTTAGGACCCGCCAGTAGCCAGTGAACTAGTCAACCAGGCGTGATGATGATGCCTCGTAGAGCTCAGTCAGTGAGTGCCATATCAAAGACAGTTACGTAGGGAGTTAAAAGGACATTGGAAGCATACTGCTTGTCGGCTTAGTTGTTTCTTTCTCTGCCTGCTGCTTTGTTTCTGTCTTTTTCCCGCTGTGGAAAAGCACTTCAGCTCTGAATGTTGGCTTGGTTATCGTTGAAAATTAATCGTTTGAGGAACAGACCTTGGCTGAAACTGCTGTACAAGGAGGGTAGCTACTGTTACTGCGTCCACAATACCTAGCTACAACAAACAGAAACGAAGAACATTCATTAGACTACAGCTTCGTTGTTATCAAAAAGTAGGATTTATTGATTGTTAAAGTGACCAGGAAAGTCCAACACCTACCAACCACAAAACTGTCACAGTCCGTGAAAATGGCTGACAAGATGTTTTAGAAGTCTACATGATGCGTTCATACGAATCCACAGCTTCCGGAATCTGGGGTTGAAAAATGCAGATATTTGGCTCTTGGTCGCAATATTCAGCAAGTTTGTGAATCCTCGGTGTGAAATGGCATGAACATGCATTAGTTATGTTCCCGCATGAAATTTTCATCACTATCTTAGGCAAAAAGTACAGTTTGTTACAATGGAAGTTCTGGCTTTAAGCCTTATCTTTCTCCAGGTAATACATGTAATACCTAGACGAAAACCCCGGTTTTTTGTTGTTGCGAAGACAATACTTCCACCTATCAAACCTGTAAATTCTTGAGTGCTTGTTCTGCTGGGATCCTTCATTATATAAGCATGCAGCACTTATATCCTCCAGTGGGGGTTGAGATTACCTGACATAAAGGTACATATGCTTTACATAGTTACCTACTCATAGCTGTACACGTCCGTACATTCAGGAATAAGTATTGTCACTGTTATCAAGGCGCAGGAACCTTTGTGCTTCATTCCGAAGGCCAGAGTACGTGTTGAGGAATTCCAAGGGTCAAAAATTGTATCAATGGCCTTTTCTTGGATATCTTCCGTTGTCATAGATATCTAATTATGCTTCCTGAAATATTCTACCTTTGAAAGGACGTTCTTCCACATAAAGCCAGTCAGTTCGCAAACATAAGGTTTCAGCTAGTATTTGGCAGAGGTTTGTCTTAACGCCATCGGAAGTCATCGGCTCAATACCCTCTATCACTATAATTTTTCATCACCATTTTCGGCGGTCATGACCATGGACTGCTTGAAAGTTGGACAACGCCTGGTTTGTTTGTATTATAAAATTCATTTGTCGCTACCCTTAATGGATCAGCAGTAAAGCGGCTTTGTGATACGATGCATCGCATCACGGCTGTCCCAAATAGCGATATTTACCTGGCACTTTTTATGTGAGTCGACTGAGTGTTTCGTTCTAATAGTAGCCAAACTGGGTCCTATATGAATGGTTCCGTCGATAGATAACTTTGTGTTGTTATCCACTGATCGTTACCGATAGATATCTACGGGTATGTCGCACTTACCTGGCAGATTTTTACCACTAATGGGCATTTGGACATTATGTAGAAAGAAATCCCAATGACAAAATTTGCCCAAAGTTATCGTATGAGAGACACGTCTTTTCATAGGTGGGGATAACTTTTCTACAAGCCTCTGGAAGATTAGGGAACGGGTCACACCAACGCCCACTCGAGATTGTAGAGGGAACGTTAACTTCTGGGCCAGTGCCAGTGAGGGTGAAATTGCATTTTTTTGACTAAGAAGGAAAAAACATGTGGCTGTTTCAGCTAGCCAGTGTTGTTATTAACGCCAGTAGGTAGTAAGGCTTCTCGATTAACGCGCATTAGCGTATGGTATTCCTCGCCATAGGGATTATGGAACCGGCACCACTAAGGGTTTTCAACACAACGAGTCCTGGCTATCAGCTGGCCACATGAGCTACAGTGGTGGTGTGAGACACTACTGTTACATCGTGTGTTGCAACCCAAGGCTTCGAGTATATGGAAGTCGCCTAACAGAGTTTCGGTAGCCTGCCATCTTAGGACCCATATGTGCAGGTTTTCAGTAAGACAGCACAGACTTTATCAACCAAAGCTGCCAGGCCGTCTAGTCGGTTAGGGAATCTTGAACGAGTAACTTAACGCACAACGTCAGACCCGACACGATTGATTTTGGTGGATTATTTGGAGCTGAATAGTTTCCCAACATGACGGGTGTCACATGATTTCTACTCAGTGTGATTTTTTACCACGTTTTCAACGCAATAAACGGTGAAACCATATAGTTTATCGGGTCGCCAAAAGCATGGAAATATGAGTGGCACACGTGCTTATCATTCGCAAAATGTTTTTCACACACCATGAGCATGAAGTGTAGACCATATGTTTTGCACAAAACACTGACCGTGTCTGGGATAAGTCGTCTAATCGTACGTCACTGGGAAATTTCTAATGTAAACTGACGGGGCAGTGCCTGTGAACTTAAAAGGTCTAAGACTTGTACAAAGCGGGGTGGCTACATACTACTGCTAGATGAAGAATGTGACGGCACTGGGCAAATGTGCCGGCTATCTTTTCAGTAATGCGTGTGTGATACTTAGCCAAAACCTTATAAACTATAGACTTAATCATTTAGCCAGCATTTTACATTTGTGAGTTTGTGTTTGTCTACTAGCTTGCGAGAAAGTATCTTTAACTTACACAACGTGACATCACAGCAGGGCGAAGGACATGCGTTCTTTCAGTCAAGCGGGTTCACTTTATCTGTAATAGTTAACAACTAGCGTCAGTTATCTGTGAAATATTAAATCACTTTAAGGATCTGTTTGCTACCAAGACGAAACAAATGGAGTTAAGCCTCACTGGTTTAGGGAGATGGATTTCAACTAGTGGGTCACGGGTCTGACCGTCGCTCCACCTACCAAAGTTTGTGCAGCCAGGTAGCGTCACTAGCTTTCACAACGGGCATGACTAATAGCCTGCTGTACGAGTGTGAACAAAGTTCCTGAGTGAATTTCGATCTCGATTCGCGACAAATCAAGGAAAACGTAGTTGACATTGGTGACAGTAAACTTCATTTTAGGAGCTGTCCTTATGCTAACTTCACACAATCAGAGGGTAGGCACTAGTTCTCAGTACTACAGCGTACGCAGAAGTGCGGTACCAAGAAAGTGCTTAATGAGTAGCCAGAAGGAACAGGACGTTCGATGAACCATGACAAAACATCGATGCTCTTTGACTTACTGGGTGGAGGATCGACAAACAGCTGCTCAATGCAATATAACTTGCCAAATGGAGCGGATGATTAGTCGCATGCCTTCAGCTTGGTCATTTCGCCAAAACCATGAAGGACAGCATCACTGTTGAATCTCACTGAGCCCTAGGTTAGTGATTCTGAAGAATTGTTCTCCACCATGGTATCTTCGTACATGCCATACTAACACATTTGTCCACTTCAGCCTGCCTCCCAACTATTTGAGTAAGCCACTTTCCGATATTTAGCCACCTTTTGTCGTTCACTTTTGAGGCTACGGTGGAACTGGTCGGTAACGTATTTCATGGGACACAACACCTAAAGTCGAGGGTTGCGCAATAACATTAAGGTGTTCATTTTTAGGTAAAAACTCTACCTGAATTTCCTTGACGACCACTGCTGCGGAAATTTGGGGAAATTAACGTGTTTGAGTGGTCCTTATGTAAAAGGCCATACCTTGGTTTAGGGTGAATGTATACAACGACTTGGGTCGCATAACTTATTGTCCTATGATATGTTTCGTGGCCCCACTCCATACCTCATCAATCTTCCGTGGCTTTCCTTAAGCGAAATGACACCTATTTTTGCAATATCGTTATCATACTAAATATCCCAAGACAAGGTCTTGGATACGTTCGAGGGTAGCATATAATTAATTTCGTGGAAGTGCAGGGATAGGTGTAAGTGATGGTTGAGCTAGATGAAAAAAGTGTGTGACGTAATTAAGTCATCAATATAAGCTTCGCAAACATGGTTTCTACTCTCCAAGTGCGAAATTTACGCGACGTACCAGAAACTGAAGCAAGGACCATCGGATAGCAGCTGCGTCAGGAACGATCTTAAGAATGTAATAACTGAGACTGAAAGTACTGGCTTACAAAATACAGGTACGTTAGTTATCTACGATGAATCGATGTCAGTATTTAGAGTAATACAAGTCTACAGGATGCTTCAGTTTGCATATTAAGACAGGGTGAGCCTGTCGTGAAGAAATATATTTTGGGTAGCGAGTTCATATTAATTTGAACAAGACAGCTGTCCATAACTTCCAAATTATTTGGACGTGAGACATCTATGTCCTGAAACTGAACACGAGAAGCATATCTAGGTTGAATTCCAGCCTCCATTCGGAAGTACCATGCGAAAATTGAAACAGCCAATGCTGTTTACTGTTCGTATTTCGAAATACGGTTTGTTTAAGTATTCAAGATCAGAGCGTATTTGTTCTGCTGAGCTGTGGATTGATAATAATTGTGTCGAGTATGGGTTCTAACTAGTGCATACGGAAAAGTTTACGATTTTTTATGTTACGCCTTGTAAATCAATCCGAATTACGTGTTGTCTTTGGATTATTTGTCTAACCGTATGTGTGCCCTGTGTTAATTAACACGTGAATTTCACATTCATTTCCATCCCAACCACTTTGATTTTGTGTTACTGCATTGTGTGCTTCTCAGTAAAAGTTTATGCCCTTGTCATGCCGTATTTAAATGGCGAACCTTTTGTCAAACGACAACCTCCAAGTGATCTTTCTATGGATGAAGAGTTGTTTTTTCTACCCACCACTTTGGAAGTCTTTCGCGACTATGAGTAAGTTAATGTATATTACTTCATGACTTGAGACTTTCTTTTGAACATTATCATAACAAAAGTTGTTACTTCAAAAAGTATTTACTTACTATTTTATGTTATTTAAGCATGCTCAAAAGCCGGCATGACATATGTCTTATAAACTGAAGGGTATAAATGGTCGGGACTAGGTCCATGTTCGAGGTTAGTTGAATAACGAGGTAGGATTAGTAACAGAAGTGGTGAATAATCCAGCCTATCTTTGAAAGGGGTTTGTCTAGGTTTTAATCTACAGTAAACAGTATCATCCTCTGAAATTGCTTCAGGCCGGCTATCTTCAAATTCATCTGACTCTGTCGTAGATGTGTGCACTTGTTTTACATGTTTTTCTAGGTTGACGTCACTGACAAATTTCAGTTTTACCAACAAAAAGAAAAGGCTGACATTGTTGATGTTTTTATATGAAGGGTACGAAACGTTTCATAACTTAGCTTCAAAAACGCTAGATTTATTTTTAGCAGTAGGGAGCAAGTGACTAGAACTGTATTTGCGACCAGGGGAAGATTGTTGTTGCACCCAGCGGTAATAACTATAGTTGAAATGAAACTTGGCTCAAATAGGATTAGGACCTGAGTCCTATGATCATTGAGTGATCAGCTGAGTGCTAAAAAACGTCCTTTAATATCGAACAGTAAAACTGAGGTACTGCATTGATTCGATGAGTCTTAAATTACAGATAATACCTATATCTGTGAAGCACATGCCGTTTTTATTCATTTCTTTGTCAATAAGCTGGTAACTTAATGTCAGCTATGGGAGCTGCTTAAACCACTGAGCAATCAAGAGGCTAGTAAGCGAAGGGTACAATCCCCCAGAATTTCATCATTTAGTTAAAAATTACGTTGTCCATTAATCATGCTGTAGAAAACTGGCCTCAAATTAGTGACAATACGCAGCATCGTTTTTGAAAGGCCTTCATTACGATTAATTTGGAGCTTTTCGCAACATGTCTGACTCGTAAACCCTCCCAACGTGTGCTAATAGACAAGTTTGTCTTTCACATACCTCGAACCTATCGTATTATGGTTACAGGAAATCAGTTGACCACTTTCTTCCATTAATCTATTGTCCACCCCACTAGTAACGTGTTTCTTGCATAATACTTTAAACGTATGTGCCGTGTACTCTTTTTAGTGCGTCTGTAAGTGTTTCACTAAGTTAAGTAGACTTTTGGTCACTGCTTGGAAATTAATATCATTGTTACATGTTGCTTTTGGAATAGTTCTGGTTTCATGCTAAAGCAGTTGGTTGATCCAGTAAATGATGGGATAATTGTCGCTACGAGACCGAAAAAGCGATCCCTTTGGTTAGGTGGTCAGCTGTGGTATATATTATGTATTATCAAATGAGATTGCTCATCGTGTTACCTAGTCGTATTATCTAATCACAAATCTCGAACTCACACAGCTGTCCAACGGCTTATGGAGGGTTGTCGTCTGAAGTGACAACCAGTGATCTCTATCAGGGATGTTCGCTGTCACTGTTCCTGTTCAACTTCATTATAGATGTAATGATAGACTTGACCCCAAGTGCATCTGACTTTACCGGGATTAATCTACTCCCTGGAGATCACCTGGTTGACTTCGAGTACACCGACGATACTGTCCTACTAGGTGAAGACGCTGAGACACAGGGTGTTCTGAATTCCTTGAGCAGAAATCTGAGTATCTTTGGTATGCATTTCTCACTTGTCAGATGTGAGATGATGCTTCAGGACTGACTGATCTGCAAATACTCCTACTTCAATGATAGAGGATGAATTTGCAGAGTGTGTTGACCGCTTCACTTAGTTGAAAGTTGTATCATTTCAAATGGGTTGGTTGCCGATGAAATCTCAACTCAGATAAAAAGGACCGTGTGACATTTGCCAACCCACGTCATCTTTTGCGTCGGCAAGATATCTGACCACCTGTCAAAGGGTGAGTATACTGCTCTGCAGTCTGCTTTGTTCTGTTGTAAAGGTGTGAGACTTTGTTGTTGAAAAAGAAAATATGAAGAGGTTACGGTTTTTGACCACAGATGTTTTCGTAGCGTTGTTCACATATAGTGGAGTCATCGTGTGAGCAGTGTTGAGGTTAGGAGAGGACAATTAGACAAGACAAACGAGTCGTCCAATGAGGTTGTAAACACTCGGTGACTGAGGTGGCTTCAACACATGTTGTGCATGCCGAGGCACCGCCCATCTTGATGTAAAATGTTAGCCGAAATCCGATTAGGTTGGAAGGAGGCTTAGGGTGGTCAGACGTAGATGTCTCATCATTCTATGAAGTCTATGACTATTATTCTGAGTCATGTAAGGAGGTGTAGACTATGTTGTTAGGGTCCTAGAGATAGTAGAAATCAGTGGTTAGAGACTTGGTGAAATGGCTAGAAACCGGTCACACTGGTGCAGATGTATTCAGTCTTTGACATCTTCTAAAGCTTGAACGTTTTCCCGAACTTAATTTTCGGATTGCTTCTCCTCCCTTACACATTGTTTATTTTGATACAAGTCTTTTTCTACCCACTTGTTATTTGCTTACTGGTGTGAAGTGTGGCAACAGAAGTGATACGCTTCTGTGAGATGTCCTACGATGATCCTATCTGTGCTGACTAGTAGCTGGTACTTTGACGGAGTGATTAGGCGTGCATATCAGAATGGTGCAAGATCATCGTCAAATCGGCATAGAACCAGGCATTACTGCATAATAAGCCTAGTTGCCACACCTCATCAACACATCAAGTAATAATGCGATAAGGTGAAAGATAACAAAATAAAGATTTGCTCAAAAGCCGTAGAAATCAGTAATAGAGAAAAAGGTGAAATTAGAAAATGCTGAATTCGGTATGGTGATTAAGACGATGTATGGGTTTATCTACATCAGACGTCTGTTCTGAGCTACGTCACCTAGTCTCCAACCGCTGGTTTATTTTGTCATATGCTTCCCAACCGGCTAATCTTCATCTCCACATATGGCTCAAACCAATCGTCAAAACTCCATACAGTGATCTCATGTCTTATTCTATTCGCCTCAGGCCTTTCCCCTCCCAGATCTACTTCAGATAACATTGCATGACGACGCAGACAGTAACTGGGCGCGCCTAACGCGTATTCCAGTTATCTCAGTCGATTAAGGTTCATAGCCGCATCAACTGATTTGCCTCTCTAAATCTTACTTCTGTTACTCTCGTTGTGACACCGTAACACGACCTATGCTAAGAAGGTAACGGTGGTCGAACACTTGATGACTTCTCATATCTTCTGCTTTTAATGACCCTGTTTTACAGTCATATGGTGAGACAGCTAACTGCAGCACCGTACACTCGACCCTTAATGGACAATCGGATGTCGCGGCGGCGCCACAGATGGTGTAAGTTGGCAAAAGCCCACCGAGCCTTTTTTATGCCTGAGATTTCGTCGGCCACTAACCCACGAGAGCTGATTCGACTTTCCAGTCTAGGAAGTGTTTAGCGCACTCGACCACTTCACTCCCTATTGTTAGGTGGGGCACCGTAGAAGACCAGTCCTGGAGCACAATTTCCATTTGGGTGGTGACAAACATCTTAAATAATCTCAAATTGCCACTGAAGGTGTCCAGAAGACTGCATCTTGTCGGCATTTTTACCTAACAGGACTATGTTACCTGCGTATTCTAGGTCTGACAAGGATTATCCTATGACTATACCGATCCCGTGTAGTCAGGTGACAAGAGGGAGACTACCATAAGTTCGTCTGTGCTAAATTTGAGTAGGAATTGAGGAGGTAGGTACTCTTGACGGACATCACTCACCGTACACCACTCATCTGACAATTCACTATAGACTGTAACACGCCCACGGGTGTTCGAGTACAGAGCCTTCAACAGAGTGGTGAACTTAATCGATACCCTTTCAGTAAAAAATACTGCCATAAGACCTCTCGATCGACAGAGTCTAATAGCGCCTTCAGGTCGATAAACAGCTAGTTTCGGGCGTCGGTAAGTGTATCTGTGTTCCAGAACCTGGTGAAGGGTGAATATCTGGGCGATGCACCCATGACCATGTCTGAAGCCTGTCTGGTTTTTTCGGATTTGCAATTATCGATCTCCACTCAGATGTCTAACGATTGTAGAACCCAGAATCTTAGACACTACTTTGCCAAGCTGATTCCTCTGTGGTTATAACAATCGAGCTCGCCTTTCTTGAAGACTGAAACAGCGATTGAGACCAGTCAGATGAGAATCATATCTGACTCCAATACGCTAGTTAACTTGACTAAAAATCCTTGACCGCCGTAAATACCTCAGGAACTAGTCCACTTAGCCCCGCTTTCTCAACTTATGCAAGAGTTGGGGGTTCTATCTTGATACTCCATTCAGGATCTGACTGGGTAGCGAGCAACGCAGTGGTAGGTAGACGTCAGTTGAATTGTTCCTCAAAGTGTTCCACCCATCGTTTCAGTCGTCACCCTTGTGAGTGAATCACAGACCCATCCTTTTCTGTTATAGTCTCATTAACCATCGACCTCTTCACTCTAGTTTCCTTAATCAATATAAATAACTGTCTACCCTTACCTACCGCCGTTGTCTTCGGCATTTCGATAGCCTTTTTTTATCCACCACTGTTCGTGGTCATTGCGTAGATTTTTGTCAGTCTGTATTTCAGTCGCTCCCACTCCTCAGTAGTCATGCGTTCGCATGCATTTATCAAATCAGGTGCTGATATCCACCAGCGCTTTTCAGCCACTCTCTGAGAGTCGGCTACGGTTTCAACATTGTTTTTACAGAAGATTGTAGATGGCATCTAGCTCCTTCTGGATGAGTGATATTGTTCCACTCCGATAACTGTGCAGCCTGTTTCTCACTAAAGGCAGCCTTAGTGCTCTTATTGTCGAGCTGCACTCGCAGTTTTCTTGTTGCTAAGGTTTTCCTACTTTCATTTAGACGCAGACATATTTGCAGTCGGACCAAGGCGAGGTGGCAGTTCAAACATGTGCTCCAGAA